TTTGTCTTAAGTCATTTTTTTTCCCTGCATGGCTAAGATTTTATTTCAACTATTGTGTTGTGTTTCTTAGACTCTCTTTATAACCCAGCCTTTTAAAATAACTTCCACATCTGCTTTTAACTTGTTGAGAATAGAAAGTAAAGACTTTTTCTTTAAATTTTTACTGTTTGGGGGCCCAGCATGATAGCCTAATGGCTAAATCCTCATCTTGCACGAGCCCAGGATCCCATATGGATGCTGGTTCTAATTCCAGCTGCTCTGCTTCCCCTCCAGCACCCTGCTTGTGCCCTGGAAAAGCAGTAGAGGATGGCCAAAGTCCTTGGGACCCTGTACTTGCATGGGAGACCTGGAAGAAGCTTCATGCTCCCTGGCTATAGATGAGCTCAATTCTAGCCTTTGTGGTCACTTGGGCAGTGAGCCAGCAGACAGAAGATCTTTCTCTCTGTCTCTCCTCTATCTCTCTCTATAAATCCGAATTTATAATAAAAATAAATTTTAAAAATCTTTTTAAAAATAAATTAATTAAACAAAAAACAGTCCAGCATTAGCCTTTTGAGCTAACATGGCAATCTTAACACTCTACCAAAGTGCCACCTCCAATTCTTAAAAATTACACATTTCATTGTTGCTTTCTATTCCTTCTTGATATTAATTTGTCCCACTCTGTTTTTGACACTTGAAAGTCTAACGAGATGAATTCTCAGAATCATCTTTGAAGATGGAGAGATGGATAATTTAAGACAAAGGATTGTCCAGGAGTCTGAGGACTGGAAATGTTACAGGCAAGTCTAAACTTAGAAGATAAATTTCCACAGACATTCCGGGCACCCAAGCTGTTTGGGAACATGATGTTTGGAGAGCTCTATCTGGGACCACAGCTAAAGCCGACTGTGGTTGCTTGGAAGGACATGATACGCTCATTACAGATCATCTCTTGTCTGATGCTGAACTGAAATGACGTGGGCCAGGAAATGGACAGACTGTGATGTGAAGAACATTTATGCCTGTTCAGCACAGGCTGATTACCCAAAACCTTACTCAAAGCCAGAATGTTGTCACGCCCATGGGTTGTATCAGTGGCTGCAGGATTCCTTCAGATAGTATCAGTTATTTTTGACTAAGGAGCCGCCTAACATTTCCATTCATTCCATTAATTTCTGGAAACTTTTAAAAATTAATTAATTTATTTGAAAGTCAGAGTTACAGGGAGATACAGGGAAAGACAACAAGAGAGTGCAGGGGGGAGATCTTCCATCCACTGACCCACTTCTCAGATGCTTGCAGTGGCTGGAGCTGAACCAGTCTTTAAAAGGGAGCCACAAGCTTCCTCCAGGTCTCCCATGTGGGTGCAGGGGCCTAAGGACTTGGGCCATCTTTTTTTGTTTTCCCTGGCCAGGAGCTGTCTCAGAAATGGGGCAGGCAGGACTAGACCAGTGCCCAAATGGGATGCCAGCAACACAGGCAATGGCTTTATTTGCTATACCACAACACCAGCTTTGGGGAAATCTCTTTGAACATTGAAAGCAGGTACTGAAGATGATGGTTTGAAAGGAAATTACTAGCAAGGATGTTCTATAAAAAGACTCCATCTTTGCTGATTGCCTGGAAAAGGCACAGATAATTGTGATCATTTTATCTCATTTGTGGCAGAGGCGACTTGGTGCCTAACATTCTTTTTGTTCTTGTTCCTTCTTTTCTTTTACTAACGGAACTTTAGTTTGACTTGGTGCAACCCTATTTCTTGCAGGTAGGGTTGGCCATGTGACACAGTCCTCCTGGCCAGTAATCTTGAAGGGGATGTTACTGGGTAGAGTTCCCCAAAAGGTCATTTGAACAATACCTACAGTATTAGAACTGTACATACAGCTTAATAGACCTTTTAGTTTTGTTCCATTTTTTCTTGCCTGACATTTACAGACATGGTAACTGGAGTGCTAGCAGTTATGCTGAGAACCTGAAAATGAAGCGTCATACTAATAATGGAGCCTTACTGACCCAGGGCCATCAAAGCATTCCCCTGTTACCTAATGTTTTAAGTCTTTGCTATAGAACTTTTCTGTTGTGTACAAATTAAATCAGCACTTAGCTAATATTCCAGATGAGAGAAGAACTATTCTCTTTCTATTTGGACTAATACCTTGGAAAACCTTTGTTGTTGTGTGATCAACATCAAAATGTAGGCCTCTGATGTGTAATCTTTGAAAACCAGCATGTGGGATGTCTACCACCACTAGCATACAGATACAGTGCAATCTAGATTTGTCTTTTAAACAAACTGGCACCATAGAAGAACCCCCAGAAGACTCTCAAAGTTACTAAAGAGAAAAAAGAGGGGAAAAAGTTACAGAAATTTGATATTTGCATTAGCAAAAATATTGGGTAAGACCAAAGTCCAGTGTTCAGGAAATAGAATCCCACTAGAACAGCGCAGGGCTCAAGGCAGTTCAGTGAAGAGCTGGGCCCCTGAGAGGACTGCGTGTGGGAACACTCAAGTTCCATCTTGGGATAAGAAATTTGGAATCTCAGAAAATTCCCTTATTATTCTTCATTAGTAACCTTATTACTGAAATCACTTGTAAAGTTCTTTGTTTATAATATCCACTGGCATTAGCTGCTCTAAGGGGAAATAAGGAAGAAGAAAATTATGCTTCCTTAAGGAATGATAGATACAAAGAGCCCTTTGAAAGAGGGAAAAAAACCAGTAACAACAATAAGACAGGCTGAACAAATCATGGAACTGTCTCAGCCCACCTGGAATTTTCTACTCAGAAGCTCTTTTTGGCTCCAAATTTGCATTACAGGTGTGCCAGCGATGATGAATTCTAGGAGCTACAGGCTTGACTAGGGCATGCCTTGCAGCACCCAACATGTTTAAATATTTTTTATGCACTCATTCTAAAGCACTTCCACGCACCTAATGTATGCCAGGAACTGAGCAAATTATTGCAAAATTTATGTTCAACCTTATAAAGGAATTTATGACTCTGCTTTTAATAGCTGCAGATTGCAGCATAATTTAACGATGCAGTCTATTGCTATCCACCTACCATTGAAACTTAGTTTGAAAACACACAGAACACTATAATATCAGGCCACTTGTTAACCACAGATGCAAACCTCTTTGCAACATAAGCACAGTCTGACTTGCCCAGGCCGTGTCAGATGCTTTCTTAGAAAACTAAATGCTTCCCAAACTTTATGAACATGTGAAAGAAAATAACGAATTGCATAAGCCTTGAACAGCAAATGCTTAATTACGCACTACAGCCACCTAACAGGAGACATGTCATACCACAGACAGGAATACAGATTTCTTTTTTTACCCTAACAATAGTACATGGTATGTTGCAAACTGCTACTGAGATTTCTGGGCTTTTGTAAAGAAACCTCTATGTTTTCATCTTGTGAATACTTTTTAAAAATATTTTTTAATTGTATGCTCTATCACTATTTTAGGTTTTCATTGTATCCACAGATTTCTAGCAATCCAGCATGCTTAGTATTTTTAGGATCATGAGTTGTGTAACACTAAATACTAGATTTTTTTTTCTCACAGGAATCTCAAGCCTTTGCAGATAACTGGTGAGAAATGAAGGCAGCCTTCTCGCACTGAGTGTCAGGGCAAAGCGAGGAAACAAGACTGAGTTAGATTTCCAAGGCAAGACATTATTACTGATGTCTTAATACAAAATCATTCATCAGCATTAGGCTGATTAACTGACTCAGGATATTAGGCATGCACAAACCTTGGACAAGTGGGAACTCACTCAGTTGTCTTTATCTCTCTTTCCATCGCTCATAAAGTCAATTCATTAGACTCTCCCAGATGTCTGCTAACACAGCTCATTGTTTTATTTCTTGTGCTAGTTGGCTCACAGATCTCTTTCACGATTTTCTTTGGTTTCTGGCTACTCCTAAAGGATCAGTCTGGACCAGCCCATTTCCAGACAGGGCTTCCCTAACTAGGTCTTGGATAGGAAGATGAAGATGGGACCAAGCGAGCTGGGAGACAGGGAGAACGAGAGACTGGGAAAAATCCCACCAGGTGCCTGTGCTCCCCTAAAGAACCAGCAGGTGGTAGCAGCACTTCGTGGGAAAGCCCCAGCCCCTCTTGGGAGGCCCAAAACAATAGACCCCCCAACCCTGCACTGGTTAGGGGTGGGCGGGAACACGTTTCCTGGTTCCTCCACCTGAGAGCACCTTGCGCCGCCTCTCACCACAGCGGGGCTGAAGGCGCAGATGGAGGAGGTGGCACCCCGAGGTGCAGCGACTTGCCCAGGCCGTGTCAGAGCCAGGCCCTTCATCGGGACTGCCCCTCTTTAACCCCAGGCTCCCCCTGCCCCTTGGGTAAGATGAAGGGAGGGAGGTTCGAGTTCGAAGCCCAACGTCGGCGGAAACCCAGCCCCACAAAGGGACAAGAGTTTAGGGCTAGAACAGCCCCGCCAGCGCCGCACTCCCTGAGATGTCTCGGTTTCCCTTCCTCTTCCTCTCCAAGCCCCCGCTTCTTTTCCTTCTTTCCGCAGCTCCCGCCCACCTCAGTCCACACCAGAGTGCACCCCCACCATGTGTGTATTTTTCTCGAGTCGCAGCCCCAGAGGAAGGGCTGGCGCGAGGGAGCGCTGGGGCTTCTGCGCGGCCCTGGACGTCAGCCGCTAGCTCGGGCGCTCCGCTTGACTGCTGCGGAGCCCGCGGCGCTTTAAATAAGCCTGCAGCCTCCTGCTAGCCTCGCGCGGGCCGTCCTCCCGCCTCGCATCCCTCCCGCGGCCGCCACCCAGCCGAGGAGGCCACCCCGCCCGGGCGCACAGGCGGGGCCCCGGGCGCGCCCCTCGCCACCACCGCTCTTCCTCCTGCGCGCCGGGGCCGAGGAGGGGGCGCCGCGCAATCCCTGCCTAAGCCTGGAGGGCGGGCTCGGCTCCCCGAAAAGGGGGAGAAGGGAGGGCGGGCGAAGGGACGGGAGAGGGGCGGGCCAGGTTGGGAGCGGACGCAGAAGGGGCGGTCCGGGGCTGCGCTCGCTCCAGAGCAGCGGGCGGCTGGGACCCGCGACCGGCGATCGCGACGTCTGCCCTGCGCGCTCCTCCGGCGCCCCGCCTCCCGAGCAGCCCCTGCCTCCAACCCCGGGTCCGCCCCTGCATCCCAGAGACTCGCAGCGACCAGCCGACCCTGGCCGCGGGAGAGTGGGGTCTCCCCCCACCCAACTCCCCGGCCCCGAGAGGACGCGGGCGGCCCCCTCCGAGCTCAGGGGAGCTGCGGCTCCACCGTGGGGCTTCCGGGGCTCAGACCTACGGATCTTGTGGCCGGCGGCAAGGTGAGTCGTGGGGTCGCCGGCTCCGTTGGGAAATGGGTGGACAGTGTGCTTGGAAACAGATGATGGTTTTCCAAAGTAGAGGGGTCCTCTGCAGAGTCTGGGGAGCCCCCTCGGGGAGTACTGAATTATTTTTTTCCCCGGGATGAGAACTGGGAGGTGGTGAACTCCAACCTGACCCCACCACCACAGCCATCATTGACACCCCACTACCCTGGCTTAGGGTCCGCCCTCTGCATGTCCCCAGGAGGCTTGATCCGGCTATAGCTTGGGGGTCCTGGTCTGTTGCAAAGGATTCTTCTCAGAGGCAGGGCTCCCCAGCAATCTAAAGACAGCCTGTCCCTCTGGTTCCAGTGATATCTGTCCATTCCCCCTTGGACCTGGGAAAGGCCAAGAGGCTGATCCCAGACCTGCCCCAGCTACCCACGGCACAGCCCCATCTCCTCAACTCCATCACCACGTTTAAGCCTAGAAGGTAGGGGGGGGGGGATGTCTTGGTTCCTGCTTCCCAACCATAACGCCCAAGTTGAAACCAAAGTCTCCTCCTTGCGCCTGCTGTTCCACCTCTGCATTTGGGTGGTTGGCCCTGCCTGGCCCCCACCCCCGCCCGCTGATCTTGGCTGTCTCGCAAGCTCTCTCCTCCCATCCCTGGGGGAGCTGGCAGAGGCCCAGCATAGCCGATGTTGCAACGTCCCTGGCAGTGCCAATGGAGAGGAGCAGCTCAGCCTGTTCCCATTCAGTTAACCCTGGCCCTCCACCCACTAAAGGAGCTTGACTCAGGATAGGATGGGTCTGGGCAGAGAGACCAGTGGGATGATGTGGAGCTGTTTGCAGTGTTGGGGGCTGAAGCAGCTTGTTTCTGTCAGTGCAATGGACCTTCACTGTAGAAGGGAGGTTAGTACAGTGTTCCTGGTAGACTTAGAAGGAAGACTGCTTTAGAGTCTCCTAGTCCTTTTGGGCTGCAAGATAGCTGGCCATGATTGTTGAGTTACCAGAATGAATGCCTGGGCATGCTGGACACCCCTACCTACTGCCGTCTTCATTTTCGGGATGGCAGCTCTTCCTCCTCACCATCTCCTGGTCTTGAGCACTGGGTCTCATTTCCCACCCCACTGTAGGGAAAAGTGGGCAGCAAAGTCCAGAGGGTCTGGGGAGGCTGGGGTTTCCCTTTCTCTGCTCTTCTGCTAGGCTTCTCTCCCAACCCCAGTATTTCTGCAGGAGTATCTTCAGGTGGTGGAGCAGGTGCTGGGGGAGGGGAACAGGAGAAGAAAAGAGGAGGGCTTCGTAGGAGCTTTGGCCGATCTGCGTGCTGAGGCCCACCTCACCTCATATGCATTTCCCTGCAACTCTGCCAGGTAGGTGTGTTTTGAGGCATCGACTGTCACAGTGTGCTCTGGCGGCCAGGGCCTTGCTTGCAGCATCCGTCACTTACTCCTCCTTCATGCACATTTGCTGACTGCCCCGACACCCTCCCTTTGTGCTCTTTCCAGAGCCACGCATGTCCCTGCTCTAAGCACAGAGTGGCTCATTCTACGTGCCTGTCTGGCTAGACCCAGACACTGCCTGCATCTTAAAAACCTCCCCCAGCTCCACAGCCTGGGAGTGGGAGGCACATTTGTCTGAGCGGGTGTGCTCTGGGGGACATTCTCAGAGGCTGGAGGCCTCCAGAGACGCAGGACTGGCCTTGACTAGGTAATCCACACATTGGCTTCTCCAGCCAGGGCAGAGGACAGCCACCTGCTCCCTGAATGCTGCCACTAAGACTGATAGGGCTTCTGTTCAAGGTTGGAGGCCAGAGCACGAAGAGGGAGCCAGGGAGAGGTTCTGTGGGGCGGAGATGAAAGGGTACAGGCTGCAGCCATAAACTGAGCGGGATTACATTGGAATTTCCTGGGCATTCGGCAGCTGCAGGACCGGACAGAGGGCAAGTGGTGCCTGGTGCCGATCCCGCCCACTCTGACCCTGTGGCTAACAGGTGTGAGAAGCAGTCCAGCAGCCACCTCAGGCATGAAACCAGCGGCTCTTGGTCCTTGACCCACTCTTGTCCCCACTGCACCGACTCTGTGGTTTGCTGTGCTCACTCAGCAGACACTCCTCACCAAGAGTCCCAAGGGTCCTGTCTGCTCTCTCCCATGTGCCTTAGGCATCCCAGCCCTTTGCGGGGATTCTGGAAAGGCAACATGAGGAGTGGCAGTTTTGACTTTTTGGGAAAAAAACTTCAAGAACATCTAGGGATAAAAGTTACTCCACTTTGTTGACACTTCACCCCCTTCACTCTCAGCTCCCCCATCTCTCCATCCCTACTCTCTTATTGTAGATGAAAATGTCTAGATATTTAGAAACCTAGAGGGATCAGGAAGAACAAGAGATAAGATGTCAACTCGTGCCATGTTCGCCTGCATTTTAAAAATATTTTCCATTTGTTTACATTTTAATTATGAGATTGTTTTAATTATAAAATAAGGTATGCTTATTGTAACAAGAAAAACAATTTAAATACGTGTGAGACATTTAACCACTGCCCACCCACGCTCCTCTATTCCTGTCTCTGACAGTAGCCAATTTTAATGGCCCCATGTATCTTCTGCCATACCTTCCTCCAAGCTCATTTAGCTTATATTATTTCAGTTGTTACAATTCACTTTGTGAATTCAGATGCATAAATTCTGTTGAGCATGTATCCTTCTTAGCACTTAATTCGAGCACAGCTTTTTCAAACTCTTGCAGATTTCCTAATTGGCTCTTGAATCTTTCATCTTTTATAGACAGGAGACCTCCTAAGATACACTTTATATGAACTAAGAACCTTCAAATCTGTAATTTTTGCCAGTTTCTGAATGCCAAGTATTAACCATGAGGCCTAAGGGAAGTTCTCTAAGTTTTGTAAATCAAAAAAGTGACTGAATTGTGTCCATTATATTATAAAGTGATATATTCAGAAAAGAAATTGAAAAAAAAATGAAGTCATAGAATGCAATTTTGTGCCATGAAATTCTGTCTAATCAGTCGCAATTCTCAGCTTTCGTTTTGTGGCCACATTTCTGCTGCTTCTGGAGTTTTGTGTGTTGAAGACTTCATCTATACATCAGAAACAAGAATATTTTCCTGATTGTTGTTTGTCTTCTGTATTTTCTTGTGTTGGAGATTTCGAAATCCTGCTGGTCCCTTTGTATGAGCTAGAGAAAACGGAGAGTGCTCACTTGGGGTCTGGAAGAGGAGCAAAGGGCCTGGCCTTCCACAGCCCTCTTTCCCTCTGGGCAGCAGCAATGTGTGTGGCTGCACCCAGAGGGTTCTCCTGGATCAAAGACCAAGTCATGTCCTCACTCACCACCATCGAAGGCACCTTTGAAAATCAAGTTCTGAGTCCTGCTTGCTTAGTATTCCAGGCATGCCACACAGCTGTGTTCTTGTCACTTGTACTTCTGCCTTTAAAGCTTGCTTCAGACGCACCTACAGTGGTAGGAATTAACTGACAGCAATTTATTCCGTATCTTTGTAAAATTTCCTCTCTCTCTCTCTCTCTCTCTCTCTCTTTTTTTTGATTCTTGCAATAAAGATACACTCAGATTCTTTTTTTATACATAAAAACAACCTGAATTTATCTGGTTTGTTTGATAATCAAGAACTGACCTACCTTCTTCCTCTGACTCAACAGCATTTTTTTTTTTTTTTTAAGAAATGTGTTTGTCACCTTCAGACTTCTGGATCTGAATCTGAAGGAAGTTCTCATCCAACATCAAAAAGTACACTTCTGGGTACTTTCAAATCCTCAACCATTTCTTTTTAATCATTATCTTTGTTCTCTGTAAGATTCCAAAAAAATTACTCAAGTGGCAATCCACACACAGTGTCCCCATTTTATCCTTTCTGATTTTCCTTGATGACAGAAGCTGAGTGGCTTTAGCATATTTCATAATTGCTTTTGCTCTTTTCTGGAAGTTCTGGACACAGCCCAACTCCATGTTGTCCGTAAGACACATGCTAAGACTATGCAAGCACATTGTATTGCAACCCAAATGAATGTGTCACTAGTATTATGGGCTTTCAAAGTAAATAGCTTGCTATTTTTCATCTTGTAGAATGTTTCTTATGACACAGCTGATAATATCAGTAGAGCATCTCATCAATCTTATTTTTCTGTCTTTCAAAGTCAATTCATCAAGATGCTTCAAAATATGTATTATTCCTTCACCGTGATTATTTGTGTAGTTGCAAGTTTAGACAAAGTTCTCACTGTTTCTTCTTTGTGTAGATTACAGAATCCATGCTTGTTCTTATTGAAAGAGCCTCTTTAAGCGATATCTTCTGGGCATATAGTAAAATAGCCTTCATTGTTCAAAAACTTGCCTCTGGCGTTTTCCATTCTTGAAAACCCCTGTTCCTAAAGACAGTGGCTCTGGACAGAGTCTGGTTGGCTTTGCTATACAAGCCTGCCTCCACATTAAGCCGGCTAGGGGATGGGCCTTCAACGTGCACTGCTTTGAGAGGTTTACTTCACAGCCCTTCATGATGGTTCCTGTGTTAGAGAGGTTAAGAGCTGCATACAGTATTTACTTCATGATTTCCCTGCTCTTGTCTGAAGCACTGACTTACCTCGTAAATGATACTGACAGCATTTGGGCAAGTATTTGCAAAGAACTTCTGCTTCTTAAAGACAGTGGTTTCTGGGTTGTAGAAGAATGAAAGGTGTGCTGCAGTGGTCAGTTAGCAAGTGCCCACTCCTTGTCAGCCCGTACAGTTGTAGAGATGAGTTTTCTCCCTAACTTCACAACTTCTCAGAGATGGCATGGAAGACCATCTTAACAACACAGCCAGCACTGCCAAAAAACATGAAAGTCAAGAGAATAAAGTCAGGATTTGATGTTCACAGTGAAATATAGTTGCGTAGTTGGATTTTGTTTCCATTGTGACATGTGGTTTTCAGTAACATTGTGCATCAGAATAGCGTGTACACCCAGGAAATAGCAAATCTCAGCTACCATTATAATTGACTTTCTGCGGGGAGAGGGTGGGGCAGGGGCTCAGTACTGTTTTCTGAGCCATCCATGCAACAACGCCTCTAGCATTTCTTGGCAGAAACACATGGAGTCCAGTGCTCTTGTGCCCACAGCTCACACCCTTTTAGACTCAGTCACGAGGAGAGCTAAAGAGCACCATCCCTAGATCAGCCAGCAGTGGATGTGCTGAACCTGCCCGTCTTCCGAAGGAATCCTTTTGTTCGCTCGTGAGCAAGTGCTGTGACCCTGAGAGGCTCAAGCAGGTTTTCCATAAGCAGTTAAGCAGCTTGTTACATAATTCTGAGAAATCATTTTGAGGGCAGGAACACTATTTTTGGTTCATTTTATTAAATAGTTATCATCTATATTTTTGAAGGACATTCTAATGAATGATTTAATTTAACAAAATTACACACATGAGACTTAAAAAAGAATAGCCAATTTAAGGACAATGCCATGAATGTAAGTCTCCCTTGCACCAGCCCCCAGCCCTCTTCTTTTGATTTCTTCCCAGGGCTCTGTGTGTTTGTTCATGAAAAGCTGTGTTTTTCCTCCTCAAGCACAGCTAGAGTGTGCTTTACGTTGTTGTGCTGTACCACTGTCATTTGGAAGTGATTTTCCTCTTGGTACAGCAACAGTAGCCCCTCTTCCTTTGTAACGACGGGGTGTCATATGTTGGCCATCTTCCTATGATGAATAACTAGTTCAGTCTTTTTCCTGATGCACATGGCCTTCTAGAAACATCTGCGCAAACCAGTACAAGTATGAAGTACCTGGAACACACTTAGAAGTGAAGCCACCAGCTGTCCTCTGCACGCAGTGTACAATTTGAACTTGTAAGCACAAACTGCACGTGAGAGAATGTATCTGCCACACCTTGTCCAGCAGAGCACGTTATCCATCTAGTGGGTACAGTGTTATGTTAGTTCTTCTTGGTGGCTACAACAAAGTACCATAGCCTGACTGACCTCTACACCGTAGCAGCTTATTTCTCACAGTTTCGGTGGCTGCAAATTGGAGGCCAGGGGCCAGAAGGGTCAGGTTCTGGCAACAGCCTTCTCCTTACTCTGTCCTAATACAGCAGGAAGAGGTTGAGAAAGTCTCTTTGATGAGGCGCTAATCACCTTCCACAGGTCCCATGCCCTAAAAATGCTCCTACTGTGGGGTTAGCATTCCAACATGCAAGGGGCAGGAGGAAGAGTTGGACACGAACATTCAGTCTATACCACTATGAGAAACCAGGAAGCAGCTTTCATAGGTTTAAGTCATCCTTTTCTCTCCCCCCTGTAAGCTGTAGACAGAAGCATGCCCCTCGGGGCACAGAAACCTTTCTCTCAAAACATATGCCAGACCTGCATGGTCCCAGCTGCCTCCCCACCTGCATGGTCCCAGCCGCCTCCCCACCTGCATGGTCCCAGCTGCCTCCCCACCTGCATGGTCCCAGCCGCCTCCCCACCTGCATGGTCCCAGCCGCCTCCCCACCCTGCCTCATTTGTCCGACAGAATCATTACGCTGTGTTCTTTTACACGTGTCCTCTCCGCCTCCGTCCCTTCATGCCCCACGGCCATCTTTCTGTGTTCCTCCTGCTTCGCTGCCTCAGAAATGTACAGTTTCCCGTCTGACGGGGTGGGCAGTGTTCCAAGGGAGCAGGGAGACTGTGTGATTATAAGCTTCTCAACCACCTGCCTTTAATGAGAAGAATCTTCTAACTTCCAAAAAACAGGTTGCTGTCGGAGAAAGGGTGGAAATACAAGGAAAACGCTGGAGTAACTCTTTAAAAAAAAAAGGGGGGGACAAATGAGGTTGACCCAGAAATATCTTTCGCTCCACCTGCAAGAGGGCAGGTGAAAAATGAATACACAGTGGCAGGGTCACCTGCAGGCATGCGTAGCTTCTCAGGTGACTCTCTAGGATGCCAGGATGCGGGACTTTGCATTCCCAAGTGAGACATTCTGTTTCCGGTGACTCCTGTGTATGATTAGAGCCAGGGCAATTAAAGAGCTACAGGAGACACAACTTCAGGCTGCGGGGTCTAGGCTCTCCAGAAAGATGCCCCTCTTCACCTCGCCTTCCTCTTCTGTGTCTTCCTAGGAAACAGGCTTGGCTGCAGAGCTCGACCCCTCCCCCAGTCTTGCAAAAGCCACAGCCCGGCCCTAGGAGCAGGGTGGTGGCCGGGGCAATGGTGGGAGCCCTGAAGATGCCCTATGGCTACTGAGGGGGCTGCCTGCTCAAGAAGTGGAGTGGCGGGCATGGTAGGCAGCCTGTGGATCCTGGTCCTGGGACCCTCCGTTCTGGCTCTGGAAGGTAAGAGGCAGCAAGGGAAACTAGGAGAATCCCCACCTGCCAGTGGAGACCCAGGAAAGGGTGAGAATAAAGGGAAGATGCCTAAGGAGGGAAAGGTCAGGGAGGGTTCCCAGCTCCCATGTCAGGCTTTTCAGAGACAGTACTCCCACAGACAGCTGTGCTCCTTCTGGCAAACTAGATGCACCAAGAAAGGAGGTTCATTTCTTCCCAAAGGGAGTGGATAGGGGTCAGCAGCACTGGCTGGAGGTTTGGTCACTGTGTGTCCCTCTTATCTCTGGGCAGAAGTGTTGCTGGACACCACAGGAGAGACATCTGAGATTGGTTGGCTCACCTATCCACCAGGTGGGGTGAGTGTCCTGCTTCCTTTCCCAGCCCGTTATCCCTACCTCTTGTCCGCTCCCCAGAGAGTGGAAATCAGGAAGAAACCCCTGGGGAAAGACTGGTGGGATAAGACGCTTCCCCCCAGCAGAGTGGGATTTCAGTATCTTCTCTGCCTGCTTTGCTTACTCTTACTTTCGAGTCTCCCCAGAAGAGGTGTGTCCCTCCTCTGCAGCTTCCCCCTCCCCCACCAAGGCTTGGGCAGCTGACACTTTTCCTGGCCCCCCTGCAGTGGGATGAGGTGAGTGTCCTGGATGACCAGCGCCGGCTGACTCGCACCTTTGAGGCGTGCCACGTGGCAGGGGCCCCACCGGGCACCGGACAGGACAATTGGCTGCAGACACACTTTGTGGACCGCCGAGGAGCGCAGAGGGCACATATCCGCCTGCACTTCTCTGTACGGGCGTGCTCCAGCCTGGGTGTGAGCGGAGGCACCTGCCGGGAAACCTTCACCCTATACTACCGCCAGGCAGAAGAGCCCGACAGCCCTGACGGCACCCCAGCCTGGCACCTCAAGCACTGGACCAAGGTGGACACGATAGCAGCCGATGAGAGTTTCCCTGCCTCCTCCTCCTCCACTTCCGCATGGGCAGTGGGATCCCACAGGGCAGGGCAGCGGGCAGGGCTGCAGCTGAATGTCAAAGAGCGCAGCTTCGGCCCTCTCACCCAGCGTGGCTTCTATGTGGCCTTCCAGGACACGGGCGCCTGCCTGGCCCTCGTAGCAGTCAAGCTATTCTCCTATACTTGCCCCACTGTGCTTCGGGCTTTTGCCTCCTTTCCTGAAACCCAGGCCAGTGGGGCTGGGGGTGCTTCCTTGGTGGCAGCTGCAGGCACCTGTGTGGCTCATGCAGAGCCAGAGGAGGATGGTGTGGGGGGCCAAGCTGGGGGCAGCCCCCCAAGACTGCATTGCAATGGAGAAGGCAAATGGATGGTGGCCGTCGGGGGCTGCCGCTGCCAACCTGGACATCAGCCTGCACGTGGAGACAAGGCCTGCCAAGGTGAGAGCCCAAGGCCTTCCATCTGCCTCCAACTTCCAGCCTCCTCTCCTGAGTACCCAAGATTGGTTTTTTTTTCTTCCCCAGAAGTCAGGAAGAAGCCACCATAGAACATAACATAAAACACAGAATCCCTGTTTTCCCTGATTGATTCCCTGCAGTAGATATTTGCTCTCACTCGTTCACTTGAAGTTTCTGGAGCCCTTCCATAGCAATTGCTAAGAATTCTAGGGTTGCAGACCTAGGAAGCAAAAGAAACCAAATGCTGTTACACGTTTTGGTTACCCTTGGATGGGGTGCCTTGTCCCCATTTCCCACCAAGTTGGGGAGGATTCTTCACAGAACCAGGTAGTCAGGATGCTGGTAGGAGGTGGCTGTGGGTACAGGCTAAGGAGAATGGAGCTGCAGTAGGCAGCTCTTGCAGAAGGAGGTTATGCAACCAAGCCGGGAACACCTACATCTGGGGCTTAGCCTGCCTACAGCCCCCAGCACCACTCACTTCTGTCAATGAAATGCAATTCTGTACCAGTGAGTGGCAGAATTAATCTGCTCTGGAAAAGAGCAAGTGAGGGTAAGGTTAGATGTCGGGTAGAATGAAGAAGAGGCTCTGGGGGAGTTCTGGGTAGATGGCTGGCATGAATGTGACACCATCTCTCTCTTCTCTGCCTCTCTAGCCTGCCCTGGGGGGTTCTATAAGGCCTCTGCTGGGAATACTCCCTGTTCCCCCTGCCCTGCCCGCAGCCATGCCCCCGTCCCTGCAGCCCCCATTTGCCCCTGCTTGGAGGGCTTCTACCGGGCCAGTTCTGATCCCCCAGAGGCTCCCTGCACTGGTGAGTTTCCCTCCAACCCCCATCCTGCCCATCTACCCCAGCATGGGAAAGAGCCTGGGAGAGGGGCTGGAAGAGGGTTGTCTACAACCTTGGGGTCTTTGAATTTCTACTGACTCTTTTCTCTCTCATTTCCTTGGTTTCTTCCCCTCCTTGCTCTGTATCTCCTGCCTTCTTCTTCCCACTTTCCTCTGCTGTCTGCTGTCCTACTCCCTGACCCTGCTCACCCCAAACACACACATACACCCCACTTTCTGCCACTGCCTCCCGTTCACCTCCTTCTTTCCTTAATAACTTCTACCCCACAACTCTTACCCTGGTGGCCTTTTTCCTTCCCCATCCTGCACCTTGCTATCAGGCCCTCCATCGGCTCCCAGGGAGCTTTGGTTCGAAGTGCAGGGCTCGGCAACCATGCTGCACTGGCGCCTGCCCCAGGAGCTGGGGGGCCGAGGTGACCTGCTCTTCAATGTTGTGTGCAAGGAGTGCGGAGGCCACCAGGAGCCTGGCAGCACGGTCACTTGTCGCCGCTGTAGGGACGAGGTGCACTTTGACCCCCGCCAAAGGGGCCTGACTGAGAGCCGAGTGTTAGTGGGGGGGCTCCGCGCACACGTGCCCTACATCCTGGAAGTGCAGGCTGTCAATGGTGTGTCAGAGCTCAGCCCCAACCCTCCACAGGCGGCAGCCATCAACGTCAGCACCAGCCATGAAGGTGAGCCCTTTGTCTCCTCCACCTTGTACATCTTAGAACCCCTTTCCCTAATCCTGCTCTCTGGTCCGCCTCTTGCAGGACATATGCTCTGAATTCCTCCCACTGCCCAGAGCTGCTCCTGTCCCCCTATTTACCCCCTGCCCCATGCCCCAGTCCCCTCTGCAGTGCCAGTGGTACACCAGGTGAGTCGGGCAGCCAACAGCATCACCGTGTCCTGGCCGCAGCCTGACCAGACCAATGGAAACATCCTCGATTATCAGCTCCGCTACTACGACCAGGTGGGCGGAAGACTTGGGGCACCAAATTGTGGGCTGGGCATGGACAGGTTCCCAGGGGCTTGCAGCATGGAGGGGGCACTATGTTGAATGGGAAGAGTGGTAGGGGGCTTGAGGATGAGAGTAGGTATGAGGGGGCCACATTGGCTGGGCAGGGAGTGAGCAGCCGTTACCCCCAGGCCGAGGATGAGTCCCACTCCTTCACCCTGACCAGCGAGACCAACACTGCCACTGTGACACAACTGAGCCCCGGGCACATCTACGGATTCCAGGTGCGGGCACGGACTGCCGCTGGCCACGGCCCCTATGGGGGCAAAGTCTACTTCCAGACACTGCCTCAAGGTGCGGAGAAGCCTGGCTGAGGGCCAAGGTGGGGGGTAAGGAGAAGCCCAGGGATTGTCCAGGCCTGGAACCCTGACCCCAGTGTGCTCCAAACCACAATCCTGGGAGGGGGTTGTTGGGATGGAACAATGGAGCTCAGGGACCAGGGATGGGGAGAGGGGTGCAGTGATGTGGGGTTGCAGACATATGTGATGGGCTGTGGGGTACTTGCATGTGTGTCCCTGTGCTTGTTTGCATGTATGAGAGGGAGGTGGGATGTGTACATGTGGTATACATGAGCCAGCAGGTGGGTATAGTACTTGCCTGAGGGAGTGGGCCTTGGCAGCCTGTGACCCTGGCAGCTGGTCCCTCAGGTGAGCTGTCCTCCCAGCTTCCAGAGAGACTCTCCTTGGTGATTGGCTCCATCCTGGGGGCCTTGGCCTTTCTCCTGCTGGCGGCCATCACTGTGCTAGCTGTTGTCTTCAAACGGTGAGACCCCCTGACCCCCTAGCCAATCCTGCCCATCCAAATCTTGGCAGCCAGCAGACACTAACTGTTTGTTGATGCCAATGTCCCTCACCTCACCTTAGCAGAGCTGTGGAGGAGCCCAGCTGGTGCCCCTCCCTTCCTGCCTCCATGTGAATCCCTGGCTAGAGGGCAGCCTGTGAGGGCAGGGTGGGTAAGTCAATGAGATGGCAGAAATGGGAGTATTTTCCCAGGTCTATGGTTTTTCCCTTCAGGAAACGGCGAGGCACCGGTTACACGGAGCAACTACAGCAGTACAGCAGCCCAGGTGGGAGTGGGCAGAGGGAAGCAGTCTGGGATTGGAGGAGTACAAGGAAAGAGCTTGAAGCCCTAGTAGGGTGCCGATCTGCTGAGAGAGCCTGGCTCCCTGCAAGGTGGACATTGCCCCATTAGAGACATCTTCTGCACTATCCCCTCATAAGACACCCCATTCCCCAGCAGGGCTTGGGGTGAAGTGCTACATTGACCCCTCCACCTATGAGGACCCTTGCCAGGCCATACGAGAACTTGCCCGGGAGGTAGATCCAGCATACATCAAGATCGAAGAGGTCATTGGGGCAGGTACCAAAAGGGAAAGGATGGGACAGGGATGCTGGGGCTTCCTGATGAACCTGCCCTGGCCAGGACCCTTTGTCAGCACAGCAGGGTGGGGACCCTGAACCAGGGGCCCGCCCCTGAGCCACATCTGTTCTCTCAGGCTCTTTTGGAGAGGTGCGCCGGGGCCGATTGCAGCCCCGGGGCCGGCGGGAGCAGCCTGTGGCCATCCAGGCCCTGTGGGCTGGGGGTGCTGAGAGCCTGCAGATGACCTTCCTAGGCCGGGCGGCTGTGCTGGGCCAGTTCCAGCACCCCAACATCCTGCGGCTAGAGGGCGTGGTTACCAAGAGCCGGCCCCTCATGGTGTTGACAGAGCTTATGGAGCTTGGCCCCCTGGACAGCTTCCTCAGGGTCAGTCCGATATGGGTGTCACCTTCCTCAATATGGGTGTCCCATGTGGGGTCGGGGAAAAAAACTTTTTGAGTTCCCACCACTTCCAGGAGACTTTGTCCTGATCCTATGTTCGTTGCTGCCCTTCCTCCTCTGGTCCTCATCATTCCTTCCTAGGCCATTTTCTGATTCCCAAGTCTGGTTCCTGTCCCCACCCTCATGACCCCCTCATGCCCATGCCTGCTGTGCAGTGTGTCCATGCCTTCCAGCCCATGGCTGACTTCTGCCCCCCGCCCCTCAGCAGCGAGAGGGCCAGTTCAGCAGCCTGCAGCTGGTGGCCATGCAGCGGGGAGTGGCGGCCGCCATGCAATATCTGTCCAGTTTTGCCTTTGTACACCGTGCACTCTCGGCCCGCAGCGTGCTGGTGAACAGCCACTTGGTGTGCAAGGTGGCCCGCCTTGGCCGCAGTCCTCAGGTGAGAGTACAGCCCTGGAGGACACACTGCAATCCGGGAGGGGCCTCACCTGAGCTGCCAGTGTGGGAGAGGATGAAAGCTCATCTGTGGGAGAGGAGACTGAAGCTGGGGGGGCAAAGGGCGAGGGTAGATGGACACACTTCTAGACCGAGGCAACGAAAGGGGGAGACCAAACCTGCACAAACCTAGAACCACATGCTGCCTTTCCAAAACATGAAGGTTCCACAAGCCCCAAAGCCAGCATCTCATAGCTGGTTACAAATCCTGATGCTCACACTCAAGCCCCATGGCCTTGGACAAGCTTAATATTGTTTATGCCTCAGCTTCTATCAGGAGAATGAACACAGTACAATCTGTCCTACTGTTGCTGGGAGGATCAAGTGAGGTGCTTAACACACGTGCCAGCACATAGCAATGCACGCTTGCTTTCACCTCAACCCCCAGGGCTCAAATTGTTTGCTACGCTGGGCAGCCCCTGAAGTAATAGCGCATGGAAAGCACACAACATCCAGTGATGTCTGGAGCTTTGGGATCTTGATGTGGGAAGTGATGAGCTATGGAGAACGGCCCTACTGGGACATGAACGACCAAGAGGTGAACCTGCTGCTTGGATGCAGCCAGTTTTCTGCCCCCACCCCTTTCAAACTGGCTTATTGGAAGACCTCCATTCTTAATCCCTTTATCTTCAAGGCCCCGTGGCTCTCAGAGCCCATAATTTTGAGTTCCTACTGCTCTCCTATGTGACATACTGCCTGATTCCTAAAAAAATACCCTCTTACCTAAAAAAACATGCAATCCTTTCCAGTCATCATGTTCTTCTCTGTCATCCAGGTATTAAGTGCAATAGAGCAGGAGTTCCGGCTGCCCCCACCTCCAGGATGCCCTCCTGGACTTCACCTGCTTATGCTAGACACTTGGCAAAAGGACCGTGCTCGGAGGCCTCATTTTGACCAGCTGGTATCTGCGTTTGACAAGATGATCCGCAAGCCAGACACCCTGCTGACTGACGGGGGCCCTACGGACAGGTCTGGAGCTTAGGGATGGACCCCAAGAAACTTGGGGAGGGTTGATGCAAACCAAAAAGGAAAAGTGAGCAGAGGGGACTAAGAGGAAGCGGAGACTTGTAAAGTGTGCTCCCCTCCTTCCCAACCCCCTTTAGATCTTCCCAGGCACTCCTGAATCCTGTGGCCCTGGACTTTCCTTGTCTGGACTCGCCCCAGGCCTGGCTGTCGGCCATTGGACTGGAGTGCTACCAGGACAATTTCTCCAAGTTTGGCCTCTGCACCTTCGGTGATGTGGCTCAGCTCAGCCTGGAGTAAGCAGGGAGAGGCAGGGTGGGGGCAGAGGCTCCGGGACCCCCTGAGGAATTGTGTCTGGGACCTTGAAGAAATTGGCCCAGAAGTGACACCCTCCCTCCCCTCCTCCTCCTCACCAGAGACCTGCCCGCCCTGGGTGTCACCCTGGCTGGTCACCAGAAGAAACTGCTGCACAACATCCAGCTCTTGCAGCAGCACCTGAGGCAGCCAGGCTCAGTGGAGGTCTGAGGCCTGGGCAGGACACTGAGCTGACAATGCGCATGACCCAGCTCACCCTGGATGCGGGTCCAAGAAGGGACATGGAAGACGTGAGCCGGGCTCCATCTTGGCCTCTGTGGGAGGTACCCACCTGCCAGTGGATATGCCACCCTGACCCTCAGCCCCTCCACCAGTATCTCCCACATTAAAGGAGCAAAAGGGAATTTGCAAGTTCAGCTGTGTAAAGATCACTGTCTGTAGGAAAGGGCTAGGGAGTCCATCGAGGAGGAACACAGGAGCAGGGTGGGCAGGTGACCTGGCAGAGATACAGAGGGCAGCCAGGCCGGGAGCAGGAAGCAACTTTATTGGAAGGTGGAAGGTGGCAGGACTCCACAGAGCTTCTGCCAGTCAGGGGTAGCATGTGTCTCACCCTCATCCACTTTCCCACAAGTCTGAGAAGGACTCCCTACCTTCCCACTTAGGCCATAGGGGTGGGGGACAGGTGCCTGAAAAGGCAAGTGTGTCCTTAAAGTGCTCTGATGTGCAATGGGACTTCCATTGGCGAGGGGTGGGATCCCTGGGTGCAGTGTGTGTCACAGCCTTCACGGAGCAGTCACTCCCACCGTGCATTGCTTAGAGGTCTTATTCCTCCCCTGGGAGATCAGGCCTCCAGCTGGTTGTAGTTTTGTGGATTGTGTTTGGGGGCTCCCAGGAAGAGCTCACACTCAGATCTGGTACTCCCAGCCATCATCATCTTCTAGAGCCCGGTTGATCACCCCCTGCAGGTCTCTCTTTAAAGCCCCCTGGCGAAGTTTTTCCCAGTTGGTACTGCTACGGGAGGAGCTTCGAGACAATGAGGGCATGAGGAAGGACTGGCGGAGGCCCAGTGAGTGGCCCAGTTCCATTTTTTCATCTGAGTCTTTGTCCAAGTCATCACTCGGGCTATGAAAGGCCTGTGCGTAGCGCCGGATCCGATGCCGGTTTAGATCCTGCCTGTCTTCCACCCTGCGGGGGTGCATCGAGGACTTGAGCAAGGTAGACCGGAGACAGCACTTGTCCCCTATATCTCCTTTCCCCAGTCACCTGCATGAGCCTTTGTCCCTTCTCTGCAGCTAGTATAGCTCAAGGGATGCCAGTTCCCCAGTAGGTACCCAGGCTTCAGGAAGCAGCAGACCCTGAGCCCCCTGCCCAGTGGGTGTGTAAAGGGTTCCAGCTCAACAGCAGCCGCTTGGTCAGGCTGAGTCATCGGGCTCCTTGGAGCAGGAGGCTGTCTGGGCAAAGGGACATTACCAACAAGACTGCTCAGGGGAGCCCACTCCCACGCTGTCACTTACCGCAGGAACCAGCGATCCCCCAGGCCATACTTGAGTCCACAGATCCCAGAGCGAGGCCACATGCAACGAGGCAACTTTCGCTCCAGCATCACTGTGGTTGCCACGACCTACATGTGAGAAAAAAGGGCAGACAGAGATGTGGCAGGGCGAAGACCAAGAAATAAGCAGTGTTGACCAAGAAGAGGGGCAGGAGGGAGACAGTATGCCCAACAGAGGGAGAACAATTTGGCCACAGCAAGGAAGGTCAGGAACCAGTTGTGTCTCTAGAGGTGACAAATGACACTCATGGTCTAGGAAGCCCTCCTTGTAAGGAAGACACAACAGAGCTTGAGCCCCACAAGTCATCACTTAATGATTTGGCATCCATGGCCATGCCAGAGAAGAGCCAGGAGACAGGCACCTTCTCAAAGGACAACTGAGATGAGACCAAAGTAAACAGAAATACATCTTTGGGACCCTGGAATATTTTGACCCTATAGATATGGAAATCACTCTCAAATATAAACATCTTACTGATAAATCTAATATTAGTACATTTTCTTAAGAAACAGCCTTTCCTGAGCAAAACCTTACCATTGAGCCAGCTGAGTTTTTCTACTCTGTTTTCTTCCCACCACACTTCTATGCCTTCCAGTTTGGAGAATTTCCATTTTTATTTTGCTGGAATTATTTTTGTGGAGATAAATTATTTTCTAAGCATAGGATTTGATGCATCTCATGGTCTTTTACCCCTGCCATGATGATCTGCCTGAAGATAGCTTCTGCTATTACAGGAAGTTTTCATGGCATTATTTTTAACAAGTCTGATTTTTCTGGGTCAAATTTTACAGGCCTCACCATTGTCAAAGAGACTTGCTACTCTGGTTTTTATTTGAGAACAAAATTCACTGGCTGTAGTCTTAGCCATCCTTAGTTTTATTTCATGTTGATTATTCTCAGAAATAAGGTTTTATGGTTTTAATTGCTGAGACAAGTGTGAGGATTTCTTTCAGTGTTTCCAATATTCTTCAGTACTATTTAAAATGCAACTTTTCCACACACTGCATTATGCCCAATCATGCAAAGTCAAAATATCCTGCTTCTTTGTGAACTTGGACAGTTTGAGATGAGAAGGGGATGACATGCAGGCACCCTGCCAGCCACCAGGGGGCTCACCTGGGCCCTCCAGAGCTCATCCCTCTCGTGGGCCACTCGCCAGTGAGTGTCACCCATCATAGCGATCAACAGGTTGAGCATGAGCAGCGTGGCAATGATGGCGAAGGCAGCGTAGGTGATGCAGTACATGACGGGCAGGTCGACATCATAGTTGGCAGGGCCATCAATGACGGTGAGAAACAGCTCAAAGGTGCTGAAGAGTGCCATGAGGTAACTGTAGAAATGGCCCAACTCATCGGGGTCCTCTGTCTGGAAGATGATGTAGAACGCTGCTCCACCCAAGGAGGAGAGAGTTACCATAGCAAGCATAGGGTGACCAACCCCCCAATACTCCACACTGTGGGTTCCTATCTTTCCTTACATTTCTATGAGGCTCATCCTCCTGAAGAGCCACCTGCCTCAAACACTCTTGGCTTTCCGTCTCCTGGAGTAGCTATCTCATTGCCTTTCCTCTCTCCTACTCACCTTCTATATTCTCTAGAAGACCCTGACACCTGCTTCCCACAGCCCCACCAGGAACAGGTGATTTACCTGAAGCAAATCCAAAGATGACCACAGCCATCAGCCAGCAGAATCTCATCAGGTCACCAAAAATCATCTAGAGGGTAGAGGAGGCAGAGAGAACATCACACTTTCCTTCAGCAATTGTCCCATTCAATGCCAATAGGTCTAACCTTGATAAGTCTAACAAATCCACCCTCTAGGACAGAGCTTGGCTACCATGGCCTACAGGCCCAGTCTATATGCCTGTTTTGATATGGCCATTGAAGAAAGAATAATTTCTACATTTTCGTAAGATTGTTTACAAGTTAAAAAAAAAAGAGTGAATATAGCAAAAACCATGTGTGGCTCACAAAGCCTGAAATAGTTACAATGTAGAAATACTTTATAGATATAGGTGATCCTTGGTCTAGGACCTTTTTCTAGGTAGCTCAAGGGGAGGCACTGACCTTCTGGATCATGATGGTGAAGGGGCCTAGCATCTGGAATCCTCGGGCAAAATACATGACATTGCACCAGCCCAGCACCAGGGCAAAAGACATGGGCACCACCTCCCCGTCTGTATTGGTGAGCCGCATGACCATGGTTATCAACACCATGAAGGCATAGGTGATGCTGGGGGGAGAGCAGGAAGCGAGCTGGTGAGAGGCAGACTGGAGTTAACCTGGAGACTGACAGCAGGAGTGGACCTGGGTCGGCACCCACACACTCAGACTCAGCCTTCAGACACTCAACATACAGGGGCACATGCGCATCACTAAAGACAGACCTCTGGAGTTAAGGTTCTCTAAGAGGTCTGGCATTCAGAAAGGTATAGAGGTAAGAGGAAGACTCACATGAGGACATGGAATGGCCCCCCAAGGATGGTATGTCCAAAGAAGCGAGTGACCCCCAACCTGAAGATATCTGGAATCTGGAGAGAAGTCAGGGAGACACACACACAGGCACTTTGTAGACCAGAGCACAGGCTGGGTCCCTAGGGCAGGCAGCCTCTCCCTGGGTCCCAGTCACACTTACCTCCACCAGCAAGATGATCACAGCTCCCAAGATGGTCACCAGCTCCGCTGCCATGCGGATGTCATCTGCAGGGGTCAGGTAGGCTTCCTGGGGGTGAGGGTAAGGATGGACAAAGCACTCAGAGATTCCATCTATCTGCCCTGCCTGTCCCAGTACTTAAGGCCACCAGCACCCATCCCTCCCCTGTCAGATTCTTTTAATTTATTCTATTCTTAAACCAACTCTTTGAGGCGAAGAGAGAATTTAGAGTAAATAAATATGAATTTGTGATGCACCCCAGGGAAGGAACATGGAAACAAAAACAGGAGAGTTATGGCAATCTGAGAGAGAGCAGACGCCAGAGGCTCATCTTGCTGATGCCCCACTCTTAGGATATCAACCTGAAGGAGCTTCTGCTGTAAGAGGGTGTTGTCCCTGGGGTTGGTGCGGTTGCTGGTCCTGGGCTTCAGGGGGCGGGAGATGCAACACACAGTGAAGCAGATGATGTACAACAGGTAGATGGCCCCCAGCATGCAGAAGTACGGCCGTCCATATCTCTTCCATTTAAGGCTCACCAGCTCCTTCACTGGTGTCTGGTCCAGGATCTGGCGAGCCTACAACCACAAGAGTAGAAAAAGTAGCTCCAGGAACCCAGCACCCTTCCCAGCCACCTTCTGCTGTGAAGACCTTGTACCTCCCGCTTCTTGGTGGTGACGATAAGTTCCAGCAGGGAGTGCTCATCCCCTGAGGAGTCGATCTCCGTAAGATCATAGAGAGTGGAGGTCAGCGGCCCGTACGTCCACTGGATGTGCTTCCGCTTCTGCATCAGGTGTTGGAACAGCTGAGGGGGATTAGGGGGGCATGGGTCAGCAGCAGTGAGTAAAGGCAATGGCCACAGAGAGTGGATGGGGTCACCAGCACTACTGGAGAGGAGAGTGGCCTTTCAACATAACAACCTTTGTGAAGGGCAAGACAACCCTTCTCCTCCCATGACTCTGGCTATTACTTGGGAAGGAAAATGAGAGAACACAGGGATCCTGTTCTGAGGGCTATGAAAGAAAAATGGGCCTTGGTAAATTATGCGATTCCAACCTGAGATCCAGATGAAGACTCAGGGCAGAGAAACTGGGCGAAAGAGAGAACAGGTGATGAAAGAAAAAGCCCAATCTCAACTGAGAATAGGACATGAGCCTCAAGGATGTGTATTCACATGTGCATTCACATGTGGTTCCTTCCAAGGCCAGCTAAGAAGTAGGAGGGTCCTTAGAGAGCCACCACAGGGGTAGAGGTGTCCCTCACCACAGTGTTGCCCTCCACCCCTGCCAGCTTGAAGGGCGTGAGGCCCTCATGATTGGACACGAATTCCAGGGACTGAAGATGGTCACGGTGCTGATCATAGGACAGCAGCAGGTTGTACATCTGGCAGGCAAAGGTCTTGTTGGGTTGCAGGATGAGGATGTGTAGCACTGTGTTTCCTGGGAAGGACACGAGGGGACACTAGTCTGAGTTTCTCATGTCTCCCTCGGTTCCCTGGAGCCAGTGTATTCCTGCTCCTCCCACCATGCCCCTGCACCATGTTAGCCTCCCCCATTCAGCTCTTACCCAGGGAATCCTGGGCCCGGATGTCAGCTCCATGTTCAATGAGCAGCCTCACGATCTCCTCGTTGCCCACACAGGCAGCAAAGGACAAAGGGTGCTCCCCTAGGGATACAGAGGGATCCATGGCAGGAGAGTGCAGGACAGGAGGGCTGATGTCCCCTAAGCAACTGCCTCCCCCTAGTCACATCTCAGCTCGGGCTTGGCCGGGGACTGTCATCTAGCAGAAGCAGAGAAAGAGATGGTTCAGAGGGTCATGGGAGGAATCAGCCTCTGGCCTCAATGTCCCTCCCCCTATATGACACAGATGGAGCTGAGTCTTCCATAACTCCATCATCCTTCTGCCCCTGCCCACTTTCCCGCTTTCCCACCTTCCCACCTTCCTTCCATCTCCCCACTTTGCCATTTTCCCACTGACCCATCTTCCCACCTTCCCACCTTCCCACTTTCCCTTCCTCCCAGCCCATGCCTGACTCTCACCATAGTAGATGAGGTTGTGGGGACTGCGGCGGAAGGCAGCACCTGTCGCTCTGGCAGAGACAGAGGCCCCGCGCGCAAGCAGAGCACGCACCAGGTTCAGGTTCTGGTTCATGACAGCGATGTGCAGTGCAGTCTGACCTGACCCAGAGAGAGTTGTCAGTCATGGGTCTGTCCCTGAAATCTTGAAGGAGTCCCTCCCATTGTACCTATGCTCTTCTGCAGTACAGCTTGGGACCAAAAGCAAGAATTTACAGACACTCAGAGATCCCAGGGCATCCAGCTGCTGCAGGCTCTAGATCCCTGCCGTTTCAATGGCCTGGTATTATAATCATGTGCAACCATGGCTGCCAAGGAAGCAGGAATACTTCAGAGATGGGAATCGAGAGTAAGGAGGTGCCAAGTTGCTCCTCATTTTCCTCGAGCTGTGTGTCACAGAAAGAACTTTACATCAGCACCCTTCCTCTCCATCCCAAGTCCTGGCTCTCACCTTCATAGAGTTCAGATGTCATGGGCTCAAAGACCAGATCGGGGGCAGCCTCCATCAGCACCATGGCGGCTTCCAGGTTGTCATAGAGAGCTGCAATGTGAAGCGCCGTCTCCCCCAGGGCTCCTGGTGTTTACAGAAAGAAGAGTCATAGTTTTTGTGGGACAGTAAGGTAGGGCACTACAGGTCCGAGGTCCTGTGAGGCTCAGGTAACCCTAGCGATGCATGCTGTTCTCCTTACCTCGCTGGTGCACTTCACAGGTGTCATACTTGAGCAGCTTGTTCAGGGCCTGGATATTGTTCTCTTTGGCAGCTAGAAGGAGAGGAGACTCCCAGATCCTGATAGAGAATGGGTCAGAGAAGAGAGTAATCATAAGCTGACTCATTAGCAGAAGAAAGGTGGTGACTTTGCTCTGTTGTGCTTGCAATCATGCACTTTAGCCTCAGCGGACCTCGTGGTCTCTGATCCAGGCATGTGAGACCATGGCAGTGCAGAGATCAACACATCTCTTTTCTGCTCATTTTGCTTGTGTAGGAGGGAACTGTCTGTGCCTGTATCCTGGCCCTCTGTGTGCTAGGAGCACAGAAGACAGTATGTGAATGGGCTATCTATGCACATTGGCTAAGGAAGGGTGCGGTTTGACTTAGGCATGCACTCGCCTCCCAACCGGTTTGCTTCTGCAGTGGTCCTGTTTAATGGTCACCAGGCGTCCTGAGATTGCCCTCCAGGATAAGCCTTGTTTTGCATGAACAAGGTGGACAAGGAATTCCTCCCTCATGTTTGTAAAGGAAGTCAATATGCAGAGGCAGCAAGTTTTCTCTTGTTGCGTGATGCTCTGCCTACTCCCATTTCTCAGCAGTCTTTTTGATCCCAGCACTTTCTTCCCAATGGCAAAGTTAAGACTCACTCCAAAAGCCATAATGGCCCAGGAGAAAAACCTGGCAGCCTGGCCCCAGGCTTCTCTTCCACCTGGTTGCTCATGTATTTTCATTCTCGTGCTCAGTTCTGTCTCTCTGTCTCTGTCTCCATCTCTGTCTGTCTGTCTGTCTCTCTCTCTTTCTTCTTTTTCATACATCACCCTCTACAGCTTTCTTTCTTAACATATGATGTCCCATCTTCCTATATGCATGATACTTCTAAAGATTTACAACAAGTCACAAGTCAGTTACACAGCACTGAAATATGCACAAAATTGAAATATTATGCCATAATGGGTTATAAAGTTGAATTATTGTCATCACACTAACACTTGCAAGATATGTAAACTCTTATCCCCCACCTTTTCAACCAGGTACATCAGAATCTGCTATTCAAAAAGGTTCCCCGCCAGCTCTTGGGCATCTCAGGTTGAGAAATATTGCTCAAGCCAGTTGTCACTTATTGTGGTTCCTGTGTGGAAACACCTCAGATAACATATCCAAAGCAAGCTTGGGAATGTCCACTTTTAAGCAGTGCACATTAAAGCTTCAGAAACAATGTTCTTTCTCATGCTCACACCAGCTATGTCCAAGGCCTTGGGTGCCATGGCATTTCAGCTATTAACACTTTGAAGGAATAAATTTTGTCTGACAGTGGCAAGTGCCTTGTTGAAACAGGCAACTCCGATGAGAGGATTCATCCACTGAAATTCATGTGACTCTGACTGCTGTCATTCTACCCTCTGATTCTTCTCAGGTTTATTTTGCTTCAAACTCATAGATTCATTTTTAAAAAACTGTTCCCTGGTTCCTCAATCAGCTTAAGCTAGTTCCTAAGTCTCCCCTTACTTATTACATGCTTGTCATTTATTTTAGGCAAAATCATCTTCAATTCCCTGGATCCTCTCTCACAATGAAGAGATTATCATCTCTTACAACATAGTAAAAATCTTTTAAAATCAGAATGTATCCCAAGTAAGAGACTTGGCTCCCTTTGGTTGCATTTTTTCTCAGCCTGGAGCCATTTGGTCTTTTCAGGGGCATATATGAACTGACACTATTTATCTATGCATGGCCAATTATATGACATGCCAGAAGTCATAGACAGGGACATACAACCTCCTGAGCTCCTGTGAATGCTGGCAATGGCAAGAAATACATTGCAAGTGGGAGAGTGATGAAGCAGGAGAAATGAGTCATGCAGGCCCCGGGACGGCCCCAGAGCAGCCCCATTCTCCCCTGAAGGCCTCATGGGCAGCTTTGTCAAGTCCACAAAGTTAAGTTCTCCTTGCCTTCAGTATTTTCTTTTTCTCTCCCAAGACTTATCCATTCATAGCTTTATTCTCTATTAGTAAAATAGTCTCCTAATTTCTTTTCCTGTTTCCCATCAACCCCCTACCCCACACCAGCCTTTCCTTCTGGCTGCTACCGAAACAACCTAAGAGGCAAATACAACTACAGCTCACAGAAGTCCAAGGGGTCCTGCAATGCTCAATGACAGGAACACAGAGGTTCTTTACATCCTTTGTGCAACTATTTTTCCACCCTCTGTTCCTCCTACACACTGCTTGCAGCGGCCTCTCGGTCTCACCGCATGCCTCAGCTCTTCAGTGCGTACACCCCACGCCTGTGCCCACAGGGCTCCTTCCTCCTAGAACCCAACTCTCCCACTTCACCACTGTTCATTGTCTGCGTAGTACACCCATACTGAGCAACACCAAGGGACTCCTAAATGTGCACAGAAAAACAACAACAAAAAAATGAAATTAAAAGCATAAGTTTATTTTGGTGCAAAAAAATTTAAAATATGTGTTTTTTCATCAAACACATTTTTCCATGTATTATGAGAAACATTTGCCCCCCCCCCCAAACTTGTGGCACCAAAATAAACTCATTTTAAACTCTATTTTCTCACAAACATTTTGAAGCATCCATGCTTTACGTAGACTAGAAATTCGCTCCTGCTGTCTTGAGAAAAGATGAAGCAGCAGCACGGCTGTAAGGTGGCTTGGCTTTCCTGTCCTTCATTATTATCTCCATCAGCCACCCACCAAACCAACGTTAAGCAAACGTATAAGCTAAGTGAAAAATAGTATGCTTGGTATGCAAACACAGCTGCAAAACAAGTGTTCAGCAGCCTCTTTACCACCACCACCAACACTTCTACAACTGCCCATTCCCTTCCTGGGGCTGATGCTAGCACTACAGTCACACAATGCACATACTAACATCTACCACACTTACATACAACACACACACACTACTCACACAACACAAGCACATTCACAAATGCCACACACATCACATTCATCACGGACTCACACATACAACACACCATATTCACACACACCGCACATACTACACTCACACACAGCACACACTTCACACACAATACACAAACCACACTCACACAGCACACATCACATTTACCATACAGAACACACAATATACCCACACACAACATACATACACTACTTGCACAACATACACAATATGTACATTACACTCCCATACTGTTCTCACACAGAACACATTTCCCACACTCACACACATCATCATATTCACCCCACAAAGCACAATACACACACCATACACACCGCACTCACATAAACACACCATACATAATTTATCACACTCATTCAATAATACACTAACACAATATGTACACTACACAAATACACATATCCATACAACACAGATATCCCAACATTACACTCAGACAACACACACCTCAAATTCAATGCAAACCACGCACATTCCAGGAAATGTTTTGTTCTCTCCTTTGGCCTTACTTCTATTTCAGCACTTTGCACTGTGTTGTAATGTGTATCTGTCTTATGTTTTGCACTAGAGGGTCAAAGATTTCCCTTCAGTCCCTACATACCTCTGAAACCTGTGAATATCCCCTATAAGCCTCCATTTGCTGCTGTGTGCTCCTTTCCTTGTTTCTGCGGAAGCCTAGGGGGCCTGCACAGGACAAAGACCTAGTGATCTAATGTCAGACTTAGGGATTTCATGTTTATCAAGCAGAAATAAGATGTCCAGTTAAATGTACATTTTAGAGATATAACTTATTTTATGTAAATATACCCCTTGAGGGATACTACCAACTTACTCATTATCGGGAGTACAGATTGAACTGGATATCTTGTATCTTATCTGGTAGCATAGTCAGATTGTGTCACGGGTCAAGTACCATCTATGACTCAATCCAATGAGATTTCTATAGAACTAGCCTCCCCTGCTATTAGACTCCAGAATCTGGCAACTGGGGACTGGGCTATGGAATGAGCTACTAGGATTAGCAGAGCTATGACTTGCAATAATATGATGAACCAAAAAGGGACAGCAGAGAAAGCCCTAGCTCATGTCCTCAGCTGTAAGGTAGAGAGAGAGCAGCTAGCCAAAGACTCTTTGCTTGGGGATCTGACTTGTTTTGCCAACAGCAGCCCTTCACAGGAGTTTCGTTCCTCTATGAGATGTGGAGGGTGGTGGAGGATGTTGGCTTCTGAAGGATACAAAGCAGAGGCTCCACTGATATCCTACACAAAATCGCCTGCCATTAATGAGAATTAGTTTGCCAAAATGCCAGTCATGTGAAGGTGGAGAAACATTGGGTTAGGGGTGCAATTCTTCATAAATACTTTGGAAAAAAAAAAGATTCTTCATACTAGCAAGAATTAGATGTTCTCATTACCTAAAACTGTTTTCTAACAGATCATTAAATTCTCAACAAAGGAGAAGCAAAAAGGTGAAGAGTTTTAAGCTCCTGCTGATTAAGTAGCAAGAAGAAATTACAGAGCAAATCTAAAATTATAACAATATAGAAGGCCTGTCTCGATTTTGGTTTTGATTTTTCCTGGGCAATTAATCATCAAATTGAATAATTGAGTTCAATATTCCATTGGTGGTTATCCAACCATAGATTTCCTGGCACAAAAACCAACATATCTTTTGTTTAGTAAACAGACTAACAATCTTCCCCTTCAGGGTCCTCTCTGCACTACTAAGTGTGGGTCCCTGATTCTCCTCCTTTCTGTGCACCCCCGACCCCTCCTCTGCTTTTTGGTTTTCAGGGTTATGTCTGCCTGTATGTGCCATGTGTGAGAGAGCTCAGTTATGTTTTGGTTGCTGGGAAACCAGGCAGGATTAAAAGAGCCTTTAGGAAAGTTCAAATATGGGCTTTAAGGCTAGAAGGTTCCTAAAAATTGAGTCCAATCTGTTCACAACAGAAAGAGGCCTGCTGCTCTAGAGTGACTTGTTCAGGCCAAGTCAGAGGCAAAGCCTTGAAGAGTGCCCCGATGGCCATTTCTCTGTCCCCATGCACTGCATTAATCAGAGCTGGAAGCAGAATTAGAGAAGACCGTGAGGACATGGTTGGGAGTCTACAGCATCTCATCAAGTCTCAGACTCATGTGCACTGTGGATGGGGTTAGGAGTGGTACACTTGGAATACACATTCCTGACACGGGTCCATTTCTGTAAGAGAAAGCTCACAGCCTCCCCATCTTCAACACTGTAGGAGTTTGCCATTTTATCGATTTTTAGAACTATGTACCACAGCAACTCCATTGTTCTATGTGCTTTTCATTTTCCAAAGCAACATCTCACTAGGATCACTTCTGCTCCTCACAAGCTGCAATCTGGACAGTATAGTTCTCCCATTTTTCAGAAAAGGAAACTAAGGTAGCATGCCCCAATGATTACTAAGATTGCAGAGTTAAAGACACAATGCTGGGCCAAGAACAGTGCCCCAGGCTCTTACAACTAAATTATGTGGTTCTTCTAGTTTTATGGCTCCTCCAGATCTCTCTCTCTCTCTGGGCTGGGGAGTAGGGTCAGAGCAGTGACCACAGATGAGGGAAAGATCAGTCATGTGTGGGGAAGAGACAGACATTGAGGCTGTGGGTCACCTCCCTCCAGCTCAGGTTCCTGGCGAGGCGATGAGGAAGCAAAAGCCACAAGGAAGGGAATCCATGGACACGCGCCTTTCTAACAGTCATAGCTCCTTTTATGCATGTAAGTAGACCCACGTGTGTAGAAGTGGTGATCTTCATGTGCGTCTTCTGAAATGGGAGTGTGCAATCTACTAAAGGGTACCGGGGTTTACTTTTAAGATGTTTCAATTTACATGTACCCACATAGTTCCCTACCCAGCCTTAGGACTATCTCCAGCAGGCATTGCCTGCCTTCTAAATTGCTCTTGGGCAGAGAAAGTGTGTGCATGGGGGAGGAGGAGCTAGGCGAGTCAGGTTCAGCAACCCCTAAGAAGCTGTACAGCAAACCTCACACCAGCCAACAATAGGCACTTCAGCTTCCTCCTCTTTGCTCCCGCAACACTTGTCTATAACCTTCTTGTGACATTCATCAAACTTACTTTTTGCTCAAAAATGTTGCCCCTGACAGTACTGTGTGTGTGTGTGTGTGTGTGTGTGTGTGTGTGTGTGTGTGTGTGTGTGTGTGGCTGGGGCAGGAGTGGGTTTCAGGACCACCCTGCCCCCAAGAATATAAAAATCCACAGATGCTCCAGTTCTCTCTAAAAAAGGCATAGTATTTGTACCGAAGTCACACACATTCTCCTGCAAAGTTTAAATCATGTCTAGATTACATATAGTACCTAATGAAGTGTCAATGCTATACATACTGCTGTTATGCTATATTGTTTAGGAAATTGCAACAAGAAGAAAAAGGCACACATGTTCAGCTCAGACACAGCTGTACCAGGCCTAACCGCATTGTGTGTATCGGAAAACAATGAAACATTTATTGTTTAGCCTTTCCATCCCTGATTGATTGCATCAGAGAATTACCTACTTGTGTGTATTGGTGGATTGGGCCATCAGAATTTGAGCCCCTGGAGAGAGAGAGAGAATGTGGCATATTCACTTCTGAAAACACCAGAGCAGTGGCTTATGCTCAGTGAATGCTTAACACATTGAATATCAGGAAATGAGAAATTGCAAGCCTGCAGGAGAGATGATCTGGAAGAAAGCAAGAGAGTTCAGCCTGGATCTCAACAATATGGATTCAAGCATACAGGACTGCATGACTCAGACCAAAGAGAATTTGCCACAGAGAGGAATGTTGGGCTCTCCCTGAATCCTTTCCTTCTCCCACCTCCATGTCATGGAGTCCCAACCCACCTCACTCCAAAGCCCTCCACTGGCTTTGCCATTTGCTTTGTGCTGTGGGCCTGCCCTGATCCTCTGGGGATAACAGGATCTACCTGCCCCAAGTGAGCCGTTGTTGGGCCTAGATGACGGTAACCAATGGCACACCAGCTCCTCTCACCTGTCTACATTATTCTTACTGACGTGGTCACCCCACGTCTATGCAGTTGTGTGAGTGCTTTCCCTTCATCTGGTGGGTGGTGCAGACTGGGAGAGTCCCCTCCAGGGCAATATCAGCATCCTCAGGGAAAACCCCACCCAAAGAGGAGCTGAAGAAGAGGCTAGAGAAATATGGGAGCAGGTGGGAAGAAAAGGGAATGAGGGAGCCTTAAGTCTTCCAAGCCCAGGCCTGCAGAGGGTGTCTAATGGAGAGGCTTGGCAAGACATGGGTGCACACCTGCTCTAACCTGGGCCCTTCACTCTGTCCATACCTCACAGCAGGCCTTGGGGAACCTCCTCCAGCCCTCCCCAAACCCCAGGCCTTTGTGTTCTGTACCTGGTTGCCCCCAGCCCCACAGTCCTGAGTGGGAAGTGGATGTGTGGGACCAGTGATGACCTATCTTCAAACAACAGTGCCATTCTATTTCCCCAAGATGTCATCAGGCAGACATGTGCCCCAGCCTCGACTCTCTCAGGCCTGGGGGAAGAGAAGTGGGTGACTGGTGTAAGAGACAGGAAGCCACGACTTGCAGGCCAGGAGCACATGTCTAGCCCAGAATCCTTTAACGAAAGGAAAAACTCTAGGGCCCCTGGCAGCCTCTAGGACAGTCTAAGACAGGCCCCTGTTTTATGAGGTGGAGAAAAACCATAAGACACAATGACAAGGTTTTGCTCCGGAAACTGATAATGCCAACTACCTGCTCACAGAATGTCCCCCAAGGGCAGGAGATCCTTCCAGGGTGCCACAGCTGCAACAGGAAGCCGACCAGAGACCAGGAATGGAAAACCACAGGAGGACATTCTTGCTTTCTCTTTCTTTCCTGTCCCTCACCACAAACTGCCATCATATGTGTTTAGGAAGTTTTCAAGATCTTGGAAGCAACAAGGGGGATTTCCTCCAAGTCTCCAACCTGACAGAGTGGTTGAGCATTGGTCCTTAGCAGATGTGGCATTTGGCATCTAGTACCCATGCCACCTCCCAACAGCAGAAAGGAGGAGTTCTAGGAGTTTTGTTGGTCTTCATACTCCTCCTAGAACCTCTCATATATTTCAGCCTTGTCAATGTCTGATGAGACAAATGCGCAAAAATGGAGACTACTTTCACATCCTTCATTAATCTGTGATTGCCGATGCCACAGTTCTTGGGATCATTCATTCATTTCCACATAACAACATACACACACTAGGGGTTTCTGCTTGAGAGACTGTTGTAGGCACACAGAGTAGAGATAGCTAAGGCATTGTTACCACCCCTACCAGCACCACCACCATTTGGTGGCGGTGGGCGGGAGAAGGGGGCTATGTTACCATAATCCAACACTCAATAAGAGGCCTGCAGAATTGAATGGAACCTTACAGTCAGTCAACACCTGTTCTCATCCCTACCCCTCCACCCCTACCTCTCTGCCCCTACCTGGGAGCTGGGATACTAGACCCACAGGCCAATACCCCGGAGACAAATTAAAAAAAAAAAACAACAAACTGCTCCCCAGGAGCCCACGCAGATCTAGGAGCACAGTCTGTCCAGCCAAGCAAAGATGAGGGGCTAGCAGAGAAAAGGTAGAAGGAGTACTAGCCTGAGTACAAAGTCGAAGCAGACTCACCTCTTTTGCTGCAGCAGGTTCTGCTCATCTCGGCTCTGAACCCATGACTCCTGTCTCTGGAACCATCTGCACAACTTTCTCTGTAGACTGAGAATTAACCCCTTCTCCTTGGGCAGCGGCAACCCCATGGAATGGAGGGCCAACTCCTTGGGGGGCTGAGGCCAGACCCTGTCTGAGTCTAGCTTTGGGGTTACATCAGCCCCCCGGAGAGCTGGCCTTTCCTCTCCCTGTAGAGGCCCCGTTTCTTCCTACTTCTGTGCCAGGCCCTGCAGGTCTGTCTGTGACTGCCCCAGTCTGTCTGGAGAGGACTCTGAGTTTGTTACACTTGGCGGAACCAGAGCTCTGCTGGGCTTGTCTTGTCCCTCCGGGAGCTCCAGCTGGGAGTGAGCAGGAGCTAGACACTCCCTCTCGTCCCAAATTACCTGAGATTTAAAGAGACAGGCCCTTCAGACCTGCCAGGAGAAGCATGACGTCAACTCCAACTCCCTTCCACCCTAGTCTCTCTCCCAGCCCTCAGGTCAGTCACTGCAGGGGAGACCTTCAAAGACATTAGAGAGCTCTCCCCTGGACTTTGGGACAACCTGTGACCTTTTCCGGGAAAGACCTGAATGGTCAGACTCAAGACACCTAGCAGGGAAGGGGAGGCATCCCAGCAGGTCCCCACAGGGTTTGAGGTTCCCCAGAAATCAGCCCCACTTTTTCACGGTGACTTTTCTGCCTCCTCCTCCTTCATGTTCTGAAACTCCCTCACCCCCTAGTCCTGGAAATCTGAGTCCCTATTTCTCCAATTTCATCTCTTGCCTAGACAAAAAAAAAAAAAAAAAGGCACACAAATAGCCTAGGTTCTTTGTGCCCACCCAATTGCCTCTCTGTGGCCATTCCCTCCCCTAGGCAACTCTTTCCAACTTTGTCAATGTAAAAATTGTAAGCTTTGCAAGTCAAATGCCATCTCTGATGTGCATCCTGATTTGTTTTTGTTTTTGTTTTCCTATAGTCCTGAGCTCCTCAACCAGGGCATAACATTTAATTGTGGGGAGACCCTGTTCTAGTAACCTAGAGAGACCCCTAGCCCCCAACACCACATGTACACCTATGTAGTATATTGCCAGATACAACACAATTAAAAACGAACTTTGGATACACAATGAAGAGATGTTTTCTTTGTTGTTTGTTTTTTTTAGTAAGAATAAACCCCAAATTGTATGAGCATTCTACCAGCAGAGGCAGCATTTATTCACCTGCTACTATGTCCTGGGCCCTTTAACTCAGTGTGTATTTGTAAACCCTGGGCGGAGCTGTGACGCAGACATTGCCATCTCCATCCTACCTAGTGGAAAAATCGAAGCTCCACTTGATAGAGCACTCAGGGCCACAGAAGTGTCAGGGGCAAGGCTCAGATTCATCGGAACACCCAACTCCACCTGCTTTCCGTTGCCCCACAAACCCTCCTCCCAAGTGTTAACCTGTGCCCTTAGAGACATGATGGGTTCAGGCACGTGGGCAAGACATGCACAAAGCACAGCCCGTCCTCTGCCCCCAACATGGCGCTGAGTGAGCTTGCTGGAGCCACCCCAGGGATCCTTCAGGTCAGCTTTCTCATTTTAAAGAAATGGATGTTCTGGCTCATGCAAAGTCTTCTTGTAAATTGGGGACCCAGTGGCCTGGGGCAGGAGTCTAGGTGTGTAGAAGCCCAGCATGGGGGCCGCACCTGACATTCACACACTGTCTTCTGTCTGTGATTCAGAGCTGGAAGATGTAATGGAGGGAGTGTGGTCTACGGTGTGTGTGGTGGGGATGATGTGTGTGTGTGGTGTGTGGTTTACGCATTCATGAATGTGATGTGTGTATGTAGTGTTGTATGTGTGTGACAATCTTCTGGTGTGTTTGGTATGTGTACATGTGTTTGTGGTATGTGGGACATGGACACCAAGGGATTTCAAACAATTCAGGGCAAATTCACATTCTTTTAATTTCTTTCAACATTAAATTTTGGAAGTGTTATATCATGTTTCTACATGTACATGCTATGGTGTTTCTATGTGTACATAGTGTGTGGTGTGGTGTGCTTATAATCTAAGTACGTGGATTGTGGAGTGTGGTATGTGTTTAGAGTGTGTATTGTTTGGGTTGAGTTCTGTTTATTTGTGTGTGTTTTTTGGTGCTGTGTGGGGTGTGTTGCATGTAGTTGTGGGTGCATGTTGTGGCATATATGGGGTGGGTGTATGTGCATGGATGAGAAGTTGTATGGCAGAGTCACCACTTGGGTTTAGGGTGGGTATCTCTGGGTGAATTGCAGGAGGGACACCTTCAAACGGAAGAAAGCTGCTTGTCTTCCTCTGTCAGGTCTATAGCCAGGCCATACAACCCTGAGCAAACAGTGTGCTTGGATTAGCTGTCTTCCCCACCCACCCAGGGTCAGTGGGTTCAAGCTGCGAGGGGGAGGTGCTGGAAGCCAAACCTTGAACCCAGGACCTTTGTGCCCATTAAGCCAGTGTTCACCTGCCTCCTGTCCCACCCATCTCTCTGTGTCATTGAGCTCCAGGCAGACCCTGGTATGGTCCCTGGTGTGGGAGGGAGACAGGTAACGAGGAATTTTTTATGCTGAGGAAGGAGGATGGAAGGAAAACTCATGTTTCAACCTTCTTTCTCTTCTCCAGCTGCCTTTACCTGTTGTTAGCCTTGCAGTGTCATCCACTGAGGAGAAATTGAGAAAAGACACCAAGTAGTCATAAGCATGGAAGCTTCGGAGTGGATCTTAGTTGACCAGATACAATCTTAATGTTCTCTCAGACCTTAAACCCAACAGTATGTCATTGGGACACTGATACAAGGGCCATCGGATAGTGGCACTCCCCACAAGGACTAATAATGGCATCCTCTCCATTCTCTCACAGCCTTGCATGTGAAAGCTCCATTCTTATACTTCCTGGGTTCCTGATCCCCAAGCAAACAATGCCCAGGGCTTTTCTGTCCCTGGAGGATGGCAAGGGGCAGCACCTCCCAACAGGACATATGGGAAATCGGCTCTGCAATGTGGAGGCAAGGAGTGTTCATGCCCAGGAGGCTGTCAGCCCGAGGGTGGCAGGGGAATGATAGGAAGGCGAATTCATGGGAGGGTAGGCACTGGTGCTGGCCTCAGCTTCTGGGACTCTCTGAGACCTCTGTCCAGATTTTTTAATTTGAGAAGGTTTATGGTACTGCCCAGGTGGCCATCTCTCCCAACGGTCCTATCCCAGGCCATGAGTGCAATAACTGGGGTTGCTGACCTCAGCTCTGCCCTGACCACATGGTGATCTCTAGGCAGATCCTAGGAAGAACTGAAGGGGTCCAACGCTTCAGCGACTAAGGGAACTGAAGATCTTCCCATAAATGTCCCTGATAGGCTCAGATATGCAGGAGAGGATTCATCTAGTCAAGTCTTCCTGCCTCAGCTGAGCTTCAAGGGTCAATGAGTATGATCCCCAGCTGGGACAGCCAGGCTGGCATTCATTAGCAGAGATCCCTGATGTGTGCATGTATCAGGATGTGCAAAGCCAGGATGCCCAGACACAGGCATGCCCAGGATGCCTGTGTCTGCACTTGGGGCAGTTTCCTGCCCTGTGCATGGCAGAGCTCCATTGGGAGCAGTCCTGACATTGAGGATTGAGCAAATACGGGGAGCACCATTCACTAGGGATAGTAACACCTCTCTTCCCTCAGAGGCAACAAACAAAAATGTCTTCAGACTCTGCCAAGGGGGCCATGAATGAATGACAAAACTATGCTCCATGGAGAGCCATTGATTGAAAGAAAAAACAGCGTTTTTTTTTTCTCAGTTCCATCTACTTTGTGTTTGTTCTGTGTCTTTCTGCTTGCCCCCTTTCTTTCTTGTACTGCCCCTGTCACTGCATAGTTACATCCCAGCTCCTTTGTTCTCAGTCTCCATGCTAGTGTGTGTGTGTGTTTGTGGTATGTATGTGGGGTGTGTGTTGTCTGTGATGTGTAGCATACGCATGTGTGATAGGTATGTTTGTGTTTGTGCACTGCTTACATATGGTATATGTAGTGTATGCCGTGTATTCACATATGCATTATGTGGAGGGATGTGTACATGTGTCATTATGTATTATGTGTGTAAAGAGTTGTATAGAGTTTTATCTGTTTTTGATATGTCATAGGAAATAGTGTGTGCTCTGTGGAGTATGGAAATGTGTGTTTTGTATGTGTGGTAGTGCGTGGATGTTAGGGTATGTGGAGCTCTGAGTTGTGTTTTATGTAGTGGATGCACATATGTGTGTGTGTGTGTACACATGTGTGCCTAAGTGGTCCCTGTGCAGCCCTGGGCTTCTGAATCCTTCCTTTATTGCTGTCTCACTCTCTACATGTGTCCAGTCATCCATCTTTGTCCCCTCATCCTCCTGGAGGCTGTCCCTTGAGCTAAGTGGTCATTAGCAGGACTGGCAAGGTAGACAGGGAGTCATGAGGATGGCAGACAGCTTGGAGCAGTGAGGTCAAAAGCCCAGGCACTCATTTGGAGTTTGTTCCAGTCACTGGGTTCATAAGCACTGAGTGCCAGATCATAAAGCCTGCCAAGGACCTGGTGACAGGTCAGCAGGTCATACAGCACAGCACAGCACCGCCCTGGGTCGGAAAGGACAGTGCACTGCTGCAGTGCCTTCTGGGAGCCATTGAGGCAGGCTCCAGGGCTGGCTGTCGCTCCCTGAAAGGCACTGTGTGCAGAAACTCTCCAAGGTCCTTTTAAGACAAACATCCTGAGAGTCTGAAGAAATAGGCCTCTCAAGTGGCTCCATGTGTACACAGCCACTCCATCTCCAACAGTCAGGAGTCTGATTTCTAGAGCGCAGCTACGAGCTTTTACCCAAAATGTGACTTTAGTTCCTAATCTGCCTGACTCATCCCACTGGCCAGCTGCAAATTTGTCCCTGTTAACCTGAGCCCTCATTTCATTTCCTGCACCCTCTCCACCCAGGAAAAGCTCTGGAGAAGAGCCAAAGGGAAGACAATTCAAGGGCTAAGTGGGAGATGGAGATGCAGCCTGCAGCTCTAGAGACCATGGCAAACAGCATCACATAGCTAGCTGCCCACTATCAAATATGCACCCGCATGTTACTTGACTTATATTTACATATGGTGCATTTTATGT